ATATTCATTGTTTTTTGATCTTTTCCACTAAAGATACTAACCAATAAAGTTACTCCAGTTGTAATATCATTTGGATCTTCTGATTCAATAATATTATATATTCTTTCAAATCCATTATTTTTAATAAACATTACTTCATTTTGTAATGTTAGATTAACAACTCTGAATAATATAAATGCTGCAAGATCTCTATTAGGTGTAGTAGGTGAATATTCTAACATAACAGATGGAATAAAAGAAGATACAACACCAGCAAATTGAGTATTATTTAACATAGTTTTAATTGTAAAAAGAATATTTCTTTTTTGTTCTTGTGATACTTCTGGATCAATTAAAGCTTCTTGTAAGAATGGAACAAAATATTTATCATTTTTAACACAGAAATCAATATATCCTTCAACTTCTCTATCCATTGTTCTAATAAATGCTAATAATCCACCAAGAATTTCATATCTAGTTTCATAATTTTTAATTAATATAAATGAATATAATGTTGGTTTAATTTTTAATATAAATCTTCTAAATCCTATATTTTCACATCCATCTATAAGTGCACATATCCCTTTAAATACCTCTTCTTCTTCTTCAGAATGAAGTAATGAATAAAGAATACTTGCAAGTTGTATTTCATTCCCTTCTAATCTTTCAATTATTAAATCAGAAAGTTTTATTTGAATAGCTTCTTCAACTGTCATACTAAGTGGTATTAATTAATAAGAATTCTCAGTTCGTACTAGTTTTTGTATCGAACGGATTAAAGTAAAAAAATTTCAGTTATATATTTCTATAAATACATTTTCTTTTACTTCTTTTTTTTTATTTTTATTCCATTCTTCTGAAAAAATTATTCTTCCAAACTCTTTCTCAATCAAAATTCAATGACTTAATTGGCTCTTCTACTACTTTATGAATTCTCTTCTTAGAAAAAAAATTAAAAATGCCAACAAACTATTCCTCTTTAAATAATTATAAATTCTATTATTATTATTTTCTTATTTATAATTTTTCAAAATTTTTTTCTTTAAAATAAAAATTTATGAAATTTTAATACTATTTTACAAGAATTTTCTTTAATAATTTAATTTATTTTTTAACCATATTAATACTTTTTTTAATGTGTTATAATAAAATTCAATTTTTATTAAAATGAATAATTACTTCGGTTTATTTAAATATTTATGAAAAAGTATTATTTATTCTTATTTCTATTTCTTTTGTGTTTTTAAGGCAAAGGTGTTGTTTGTATTACTCTTCCTTATTTAATTGATTGTATGAAACTTTGAAATAATTACTACTCCATAAAATTAATTAATTGATCTTATAGGCAATTAAAAAGACTAATAATAAAACAATAATCGTACAATAGAATAAAAAATATTAATCTTACTAAATTAAAATAATTGAAATAAAATTATTGGCATTTATATTTCTTGAATTGTAAGATTATTTAAATGATTAGATAAATAATAATAATTAAAACACATACACTTATTATATGACCTAGCTATAATAAGAAAGAACAAACACTGACCCAAAAAACTATTGTTTCAAATCACACAAACCTGAAAACATAAGATAATCTTTTAGAAAACATAGAAAATAAATAGGAAATGCATAAAAGAAATTTGCCAACAAAAGGACAGTCAAAAAAGAAGAAATGTGGTATGAAAGAAATACAAAATAAAAAAGAATGAGTTGAGTTTTGTAGTACTATCAACCAAGAAAAAAAAATATAAAAAAGAAAAAGAATTAAAAGGTTAATGAAGTTAAAGAAGAAAAAGAAAAGAAATCATTTTAAAATAACAACAATTCATTTGTTTCAAAATAAAATAATAAAATTTATCAATTCAACAATTATTTTTTGTTATAATTTACAAAAGAAAAACAGAACAAAATATATAAAACTATAATAAAATGAAATAAAATTTATATAAATATACTTTATATATATTTCTTGATGAGTGTTTTAAAATAATAATTTTTTTTTGATTCTTCTTTTGTACTTTTTTATAAGAAAGAACTTAAAATTAGAAATGATTGTGATTTTATTCATTTATGTTTTGTATGTATTTGGTGGTTCTTTAGATAAAACATGTGAGTGTAAACCTGATGGTGATTCTACTACTTCAAATTACCAAATTAATATTATGACAGTAGATGCAGAATGTCCTGGTACTGCAACAGGACAGATATTAGTATCACAACTAAGTGAAGGGTCGTTTGATGCCACAGTTTCATATAATTTAAAAACTGTTCCTGGGGGTGCAAATGTTACATCAAGTTCTAGTGCATTTCAAGTTAAAGAAGGAACGTATTCATTAACTGTTACTTATACATTTGAGACAAGAGATTTTGACACAGGTACAGCAAGTTATAAATCATGTTTATGTTCTTTTGATGATTTAACGATCAAAGCTAAATATGAAGACATTAGTGACATTACTTATAAAGTTACACCAAACCAACACTGTGCAGGAAGTTATGGTATGATTCAGTGTAGTGCCAAAGTTAGTAGTGGAACTGTTAGTTATAAATTATCAGGTGCAGAGTCAAGAGACTTCAATACAGACGGTTTATTTTCAGACCTTCCAGTTGGAAGATATAGATGTCTTGTTAAATCAACACATTGTGCTTCTCAAAGTGAAGAATTTTCTCTAGAATATTCTAAAAACTGTTCTTCAGAAAATATTTGGCTTGATAGACAAATTTATGGAGAGGGTCAAGGTTTGTTTATAGCAGGATTAGTGTTAATAGGTCTTGGTATTATTCTTAACTTTTGTATTTGTATTTGTTGTTGTAAATTGATAATTCATGATAGAAAATCAGAGAATTTTATCAAAAGACCAGTTGAAGAAAAAACAAAGAAAAATAAAAAACAACAAAAGAAAGAGGAAGTTGAATCAGAAGAATTAAAATAAATTTATTCAATGAATAATTAGATGGTTTTTATTCAATAATTATTTTTTTGTTAAATAAATCAAAAATAATAATTATATTAATTAATAGTATTGTTAATTAAAATTTATATTAAATTAGTTATTTAAATTTCTTTGAAAAAAATAATTCAAAAAGGATTTTATTTTATGGTAGAAAAAGAACCTGAAGAATCATATTATTTATCAAGTGAAACAGATGAAAGTGAAGAAAGTTCAACAGATAGTTATTCAAAAGAAGAGTTTGAAGAAGGAAAAGAAAATGCAGAAATAATTGAATCTGAAGATTTTAGGGAAGAAGAATATTCAATGGATGAGTTAGTTTATATGTATAGAAGTGCTTATCATTATTCGTTAGATAATTTTTATAATACTTTTCAAGAAATTAAAGAGAGTTATAATGCTATTATAAAAGAGAATAATGCTTTAAAAGAAGATAAACAAAAACTTATACAAATTTATTCTTCTTCTAAAGAACTTATTGAAGAATTAAAGAAGAGAGATGACTGTCTTACAAAAGAATATGATGAACTTCTTGACAAATATGAAGAAGAACAACGCAGTCATACAAAAACTATTGAAGAATTACAAGAGTTAAAGAAAAGTGAATTATTTGGAAGTACCAGTGCCAACGTTATTGCATCATTAAATATTAAAATTGAACATGGAAAAATAGAAAATATTGAAGTCGTTCAATCAATGAATTCTATGGAAAATGAATCGTTAATGAAAGTTGCATTATTAGAGAAAACAGTTGAAGAGAAAATGAGAAAGGAAAAAATACTTTTAGAAGAGAAAGATCGAATTACTAAAGAAAGAGAATTAGAAATTCAACGAATTAATAATGAAAAGAATCAAATGCTTCATGAGAAAGAAGAGTTGATTGAAAAACAAAGAATAAAAGAAAAAGAAATGAAAGACAAAATTCAATTAATGGAAACACAGTTAAAAGCTAAAGATGAATTGTTAATGAAAAAAGAAAAACTTATTGAAGAAAGTTTACCAGTTCAAGAAAATAAAGTAAGACATTCTATTGCACAGTCAGAGGTAATTAAAGAATCAGCAACGCCAAGAGATAAGTATAATAGAACTTCAAGAAGTGTTGATGTTACTCCATCTTTTAAGTTAGAAAGTAAAAAAGGTTTAATTGAAAAATCTAAACAATGTACTAAAA